AGCTGAAGCATTTTAAAGTGGCTTGTCATAAAGCAATAGAGAATGGAGAATGCTGGAACTAGTGCTCTAAGGATTTAGTAAGAAGTCTTTCTCCGTTTCATGGCTCTGTTTTCCAGGGAGGCTGTCTTTGTATGGTGGAAGGATGTCCACTGCAGCGTCAGGCTTGCATTGTACCAGCTTAGCAATGCCCACTGGAAAGGCATAGGCTTTCCCAGCAGTTCCAGCAAAACTCTAGGGGTGACTCTGATTGGCTCGGATTAACTCATGTGCCTATCCCTGCGCAAGCCACAGTGACTCTGATTGGCCAAGGCTGGATGACCCGCCTCTCTCTGGATCCAAGGATGGGAATGGTCTGCCTTATGTAAACCATTTAGATTAAAAGTAGGAATAGGGTAGGTCCCAAGAGAAAACCGAGGTACCGTTTTCAGAATTAAAAGGTGGAATGCTGGGCAGGCTGAAACAACAAACATGCACCACAAAATTCAAGCGTAATCCTACCTCTTTTTGTAGGCCTTTCACCATCACTTTACACTTTAAACCATTACAGCTCAACTGACCTGGGCTCTTCCTTGGTGCTTTTAGCATCGGCTGTCTTGTGCTCCTTCCTCAATACTTTGCAAGTTAATTCGTATTTCACACCTTAGGTGTGAACCTTTGTATTCCTTATTGTTCTGACTGCATTTGTTATTTTAACTGTTATATTTTCCATTACTTGCTGCAAGGAGAAGCTCTTGGAGGTATCAGAGGCACAGAATTCTTACACTGATAGGAGGAATTTGCACCTGCGCTCTCCCTCTCCCTCTCTCTCTCTCTCTCCAGGGCTGACAAAATCCTAGGTATTGACATTGCATCCAAAGGCAGGGATGTGGTCTATTTTCCCCTTGGGTTCTACTACCCAAAAGGAGAGCCAGATGGCGATCAGCACTGATTGTTTTCTTTCTGTTCTGGGGAGCTTGCTCTTGTGCTGTTTAATTTGTATATTTTCAAAAAATAGTTTTGTATGAGTGCCCAGCAGAGCAGCTTCTGAACAACTAGCTTATGAAATAAATTTAAATGATCTAAAAAAGAACATCCTTTGTTAATTGAAATTTAAGTGAGCCTAATAAAGTTTTAATTTATCGTTCTCATTGAGGGTCAGCATTCCAGGTTGGAATTCTAAGAAACATCAAGCCAGTAATAGAAATGGAAAGTAAATGCCTGTTGGCACTCCCACCCAAAGCCCAACCCTGGTTTGTCAGGGCTGTTTATTCACACATAAAGTGCCATTATGTTTATTTACTTGAGAAAGTACCCCCAACTGGTGATATGAATTCCAGAATTAAGGATATCACCATATCTGTTCCTTTGAGTCTTTGTTACCTTTAAATTTTTGAATTATTCTAAAATATAATGTGTATGTATGAATGAATGTATATCCAGTGTAGCAACAGTCATTTGTTAAAGAGTGTTATATATTGGCCAGGTGCGGTGGCTCACACTTGTAATCCCAGCACTTTAGTAGGCTGAGGTGGGCAGATCATGAGGTCAAGAGATCAGGACCATCCTTGCCAACATGGTGAAACCCCATCTCTCCTAAAAATACAAAAAAAAATCAGCTGGGCATGGTGGCACATGCCTGTAGTCCCAGCTTCTTGGGAGGCTAAGGCAGGAGAATCACTTGAACCTGAGAAGCGGAGGTTGTAGTGAGACAAGATCTCGCCACTTCACTCCAGCCCAGTGACAGAGCGAGACTCCATCTCGGAAAAAAAGCATTATGTATTTATAATTGTGTACCCCTTTTCTACTGAAGCCTTCTTCATCTCCCCACCAGAGAATTGTCCTGAAATTTGTGTTTATTATGCTCTTGCTTTTCTTAAACTTTACAGGAAGGCCAGACATGGTGGCTCACACTTGTAATCCCAGCACTTCAGGAGGCTGAGGTGGGTGGATCACCTGAGGCCAGGAGTTCAAGACCAGCCTGGCCAACATGGTGAAAACCCATCTCTACCAAAAAGACAAAAATTAGCCCTGCATGGTAGCACACGTCTGTAATCCAGATACTCGGGAGGCTGAGGCATGAGAATCACTTTAACTTGGGAGCCAGAGGTTGCAATGAGCTGTGATCATGCCACTGTACTGCAGCCTGGTCAATAGAGTAAGACTCTATCTCAAAAACTAACAAACAAAAACCCAAACAAAAACGTTAATTTTTTTTTTTTTTGAGACAAGTTCTCACCATATTGCCCAGGCTGGTCTAGAACTCCTGGGCTCAAGTGATCCTTCCTCCTCGGCTTCCTAAAGTGCTGGGATTATAGGTGTGAGCTACCTCACAGCCCCTACATGAATCTTACTACAAGTAATATTTTGTGGCTTGCTTTTTTTGTTTCTCAGTATTGTTTATGAAATTTGTCCATATTGATTTTTTTTAAGCTGGAGTTCAGACTGTGGCTTATGTTTCCGCTTTATTATTTTCATAAGCAGACATTTAAATTTTTTAATGTCAAACCTTTGTTGTTTATGCTTTTCATGAACTACTTTTTTTTTCTTGAGATGATAATATTTTTTCATTTCTTCTGATAATTTTAAGTTGTTTTTTTTTCTCCTTTAAGTCTTCAATCTGTTGGGTTTCTTTTTTATAACTCTTGATTTTTTTTAGAGACAGGTCTCACTCTGTTGTCCAGGCTGAATTCTTGGGCTCAAGTGATCCTCTTGCTTCAGCCTCCATGTCCAGCTAATTTTTTTCTTTCTTTTTCCTCTATCTGTTATTGGTTTTTGTTTATGCTGTGAGGTAGTGATCAACTTTTTAAAATCCAAGTGAAAAGGTAAATCATGCCACTCCTTTGCTCAAAAATTTCCAAATCTTACCATATTCTTCAAAATTAAAGTTCTTACAATGGAATAAAAGTCCCCACCTGATCTGGCCCTCTGAAATCTCTCTGACCTCATCTCCTTCCAGTGAACACTGGTCTCCTTGCTCTTCCTTGAACACTCTCAAAATGTTCAAGGCCCTTGAGTTTCTGTTTGTCTGTTGGAACTTTTCAGATATCTATACTTCTGGCTTCCTCACTTTCCAAGTCTTTGCTCAAAGGTCACCTTATCAAAAATCTCCCTCCAACACACACACATACCCCTCAACGTTTGGTATTTTTCTTCTCTTCTTTCAAAGAACTTACCTGGAAAATCTCTCTGGGCCTATTATAGTTGTGTGTTGGGGTAGCAGCAGGGGGTTATTTTTAAAGTATTGATTTAATTTTTTGAATGGCTTATGGACTACATGGGACTTTAAGTTAGTTTTAATCCTGTCTCTATAAAATATTTCTTTAAATTAGCCAGGCATAATGGTGCACACCTGTAGTTCCAGTTACTTGGGAAACTGAAGTGGGAGAATCCTTTGAGCCCAAGAATTTGAGGCCGCAGTGAGCTATGATTGTGCCACTGCACCCCAGCCTGGGCAACAGATACCCTATCTCTAAAAAACATTTTTTTAAAAAATTTACTTTTTGAATAGTTAATACATGTCCACAATATAAACATTCAAGTTTCAAAGGTATACACAATGAAAAAATAGATCTCTCTCCTATCTCTGCCTTCTAGCTACCTGGTTCCCCTCTCTTGGTATCAATTTCTTGTCTATTTCCCTAGTTTCTTGTTTATCCTTCCAGAAATATGTCATGTATATAGAAGCATATAACATGGATTGTTTTTACATAAATGGTGGAATGCCATATATATTATCCTGCACATTGCTTTTCCACTTAACCCTGTATGTTAGATATGTTTCCAAAGCTATTCATAGAAGCCTGCCTCATTTCTATTCCAGTTAGCGAATATTCTATTGGATGATGTACCATCACTTACTAGTCTCCTTCTGAAGGATGATTAGGCTGTTCTGTCTTTACAGCGGCCTTCTAACCAGTGTGTTTTGCCCATCTTTCATTGCTGCTTCACCCTGCTGTCAGATACACCTTCTCCCTAAACTTCCATTCTCATGCTATCATTTTCCTATTCAAGAATCTCCAGCAGCTGCCCAGTTCCCACAGAATAAGGCTGAACTTCTTACCCTTGAACGAATATCCTGCATGGTCTCCGCCTTCTTTCCGTCATGTCTTCCTGTTCCTGAAGACACTCCCCAAAACTGATAACTTGAGGTTTTTCCAAATGTACCTCTGATTTTGGGAGCTCCAAAATTTTCTTCAGCCTGCTCTACCCTCCCTGTCGAACACTATGGGGGCAGATCAAATCTGTCCCTCCCTCTGGGCTGGTCACACTGGGCTCCAGGTCCTCTCTGGAACAGCTGCACTTTAAATATTTCAGCCCAGTCTCCCACTGTACACCCTACAGGGCCAGACCAGGTGCTCTGAATTTTGTTTGAGGTTACTGATATTTAAATTGTTCACCAATCGGTCCTTCCTCTTCTAGACTCCAAATTCCTTGTGGGCAGGGACTGATCGCTGAGAACGGGAAATACTAAAATTAAAAGATATCCTGACTTTCAAGTAGCTTAAAACCTAAAGGTGAGCCAGGCATGCAAAATTAAAATACACAAAACAGTAGCATCTTAGTTTAAGTAGGCTCTAAGCTCAGGGGAATCATGGTGGGGACGCGGGGAGTCCTTTTTTTTTTTTTTTAATCTCTGGTCTGTAGTCCAGTGTCTGGTACATGGCAGCTGCCCAATAATTGCCTGTTGAATGAAGAATAACATAAAAAGATGCATTTAAGGCAAGTGTCAACTTCTTGCAATAAAAGCCATCTTTTATATACAGAATAAGTCAACAGATAGTGTAGAGTGTGGATGTCGCTCATTTTGGAGGGAGAAAGAGGGCGGTTGTGGGAGGGGACGGACCGAGTTTCAGCCAGGGAGGCAGGCGAAGACACTGCTCTCCGAGTTGAGGGGGTGGGTGGGGGTCCCGGCGGCTGCGGGGCGCGGGGGAGGCGGGGAGAAGACGGGAAGGGGGAGGAGACTCTCGCCTCCTGCCCCGCCTCCCCCACCCCGCGGCGGCGGCGCAGGGCGGCCGCGCGGGTGTCGGCACCAGTGGCAACAGCTGCAGCAGCCGCGCCGCCCCCTCGCCCGCGGCTCCCGGGGTGAGCCGGAGCACGGCCGGCGGCTCGCGGCGCTGCGGCCTCGGAAGACAGGAAAGTTCCCGGCCCGAGCGCGGAGATGCCGGGCAGCGACACGGCGCTCACCGTGGACCGGACCTACTCGGACCCCGGCCGGCACCACCGCTGCAAGAGCCGGGTGAGCGCCGCGGGCTGGGGGCGGCGGGGGCGCGCGGGCCCGGGGGCGAGGCGGGCCGGGGCGGGCCGGGGCGGCGGCTCCGCGCTAACCCACGCGCCCTCCGCGTTCGCCGCCGGCCTCCGCTGCCGCCGGAGGTCCGTACCTTTCAGATCCTCCAAGCTGAAAGGGCTGGGCGGGGGGCCGGCGTCGGAGCCCGGGCTGCGGTTCCGGGACCCAGGGTCCGCCTGCTCCCCCGCGGCGCCCAGATTCCCCTCGCGCGGTGCGGGACGCCCGGTTCCCCGACGGCCGGCGCTCCACCGCCCTCCCCGCCAGGGAGCGCCCGCGGCGCGGCGCCCGGAGGCTAGGGAATCCCGCCACCCGCGGCCGCCCGCCTCCAGGTCTCGGGGGTCTCGCCCTCCCCGGGCGTGACGGCGCCCTCCCCGCCAAGTGTCCCGGCGCCCGCCGCGTCTCCCGGCCTTCCGGGCGTGTGGCCGGAGCCCGAGCGCAATGCGCAGCCGGAGCGCGGGGAGGCGGCGGACTGGCTCTGCCCAAGTGAAAAGTCAGAGTCTTTGCGCTGCCTCTCCTGAGTTTCGAGCCGAGCCGAGCAGGCGCCCTCGCCATTGTTTGCAGTGTAATTTGCTGTTGCTGATTTTGGCTGTGAGCGAAAATAGCTCATTCTGAGCCTGCTGCAGAGACGAGCCCTGTAGGGCTTCAAAATAAAGACGGAGGCCGCAGCCCGAGCGCGGGTCTCTCCTGGGAGAGGAAGCCTCCGCCCTCCCCGGCGAATACCTTTGCTCTCCCGGGCTGTGGAATCGTCGAGGCTGGAAGTGAGGCTCTGTAACCCGTTCTCCTCACGGCTGATTGAAGTGCCATTTTACACAGCACCTCCTCCACGCTGGCATCTGTTCTGGCAGGAGGCACCTGGAGTTGTTCTTTGCTCCGCCAACTACTTACTCGCTTGTCAGAGAAGTGGGGATTTGGGTGTTAGCCTCTGTGTAAAGTTCGCGGAGGTAGAGCCGGGCTCAGGTTCTGGCCTGCCACCTCCGAGATCGAGAGACCAACGGGATGGAAATAGTAGTAGTGATGGCGTTGTGTCGCGGCCCTTTGTGGAAGATTTGGGTCTTCACTCGTGTTTTGAAGTAGCAGTCCATAGCCCTAGAAGTGAAGCAACGAGTCCCTGGTTTATTTGCCCGCTTTTCCTCTTTCCTTTAGCATCTGTTAATCGTTTTGGAAGAATGATTTGAGTTTTTACAGCTTGAATGTATCTCGTGGGATAATACCTCCTGCACCCATCTCAACCTCCCAATTCTCTTACGTTTGCACTTTCTTCAAAAGTTTCGTAAGAGTTTGCTATGCAAATAACCAGAAACTCCATTTGGAAGAAACATTGAAGATCTGTGCTTACCCACAGGTAGACGTTTCTTCTTGGGTAAACTGTAATACTAGTTAACAGAACTATGAAGAAAAGGAGATCATTTTCGAATGCATTTGTAATTGGGAGGATTCCGTAAAGTTACTGTTGCAGACTTGAAAACATGTGGAAGCTTGGTTTTTCTTGTCACAACTGTGATCATCTTTGTGTAAACAAGATTAGTAATCTTGGCGGGATGGGTGGCTCATTGTCAATTCATTTAAGTGGTTTGGCAAAACTCATGCAACTTTACAGAACTCACTCTTCGTAACCTGTAAAATGGTGGTGATGAAGTTTGTGCCTCAGTTGCTTAGGTGAAATGTGGTAAACCAAATGTGTAATGCAACTGCAGGCTGTGTTTTTGCCCCACCTGCCACTTTTCCCTTTGCGCCAATCTTTTCTGTTAAAAGGTCACAACCTTCTGTGAAGGAGATTTCTTGATTTTATTTAAAATTCTACTGATGGGCCGGGCACGGAGGCTCATGCCTGTAATCCCAGCACTTTGGGAGGCCGAGGCGGGTGGATCACAAGGTGAGGAGTTCAAGACCAGCCTGGCCAAGATGGTGAAACCCCGTCTCTACTAAAAATACAAAAATTAGCCGGGCATGGTGGTATGCACCTGTTATCCCAGCTACTCGGGAGCTTGAGGCAGAGAATTGCTTGAACCCGGGAGGCAGAGGTTGCGGTGAGCGGAGATCGCACCACTGCACTCCAGCCTGGGCAACAGAGCGAGATTCTTGTCTCAAAAAAAAAAAAAAAAAAATTATAATAAATAAATTAAAATTATACTGACGATGTTATACCTGCTGCCTTGTTTTGTTAGCATGGAGATTTTTAAATAAGTTGGGTATTAAAACTGAGTTAGATATTAGATGTGCTGATTATCCTAAATTAGCACGTTGGGCCGATCAGATCTAGTGAAGAGAAGAAATCAGAGAAGGGCTAGAACTTTAGCAGACCATAATCAGATTCTACTGCAGTGATGTTGGACTTTTTGAGGTCTCAGTTAAAACTTCTCAACTATGTGCTTTTAGGTTTTTTATTGTTGAGACAGCGAGGGATAGGCAGAACTAGTGAAATTTTTGTGAACTCCTAAGAACTTTTCTCAAGCAAGGTTGATGTAATTTCAAGTCTATCCTGAGGCTACTAATGAAGGGAAAGCAACAATCATTCCCTTAAATGATCGTAGCTCCTGGATTGTGGAACTCACTTAGGTACAGCTGTAAAGATATGTTTTCCTGACACCCAGAAAGTATGTGATGCAAGCGGAAAACATTAAGTGGTAATATCTTGACGTCACCATTTCCTTGGGATGAAACTAGCATAGGATTTAAAAAGAACCCTTTTATGAACTCATTTGGTAAATTAGCTTTCCTAAAAATGCTAATGAGAACTGGGGGTTATGTGAAGAGTTGATTAATCTTTCCTGGAGTTTCTGCCCAGGAATGGGCTAAGACTCCCTGAGATCAAGTTCTTAGTTACTGAATGGTCATTTTTAAAAAATTCAAAATCGATACCTGTTGAAGTCAACAGGGAAAATACATGGTCTCTCTTGCTGGGCTTATTTCAGCCTTTGAGACTGGAATAATAACGAGGCAATATACTCTTGTAAACATTGCAGAAATCTATTTTTACAGCCGGGTGGACTAACCTAGATTCCCCCCACCCCACCTTAGTGAAAATGTAGTTAATGAATTCTGTGACTGTTGCTAAGCTGACAAGACAGGATCATTCACATTTTAAAACATCATCTTTGTAAAACTCAGAAATGGTGCTTGTTAACTTAATGCACATCTCTCTCTAAAAGAAAGAGCATCCATAATTAGACTCCTACTTTTTTTTCATGCCCTAGATAGTTAAAGCCTATCATCTTTTTAAGAATACAGGCTGTCTGCTTTCTATACAGTAACTGGCTTTTATTAATTATGTGTGAATTAGTTTTTCTTTTCCTTGGTTTTCATTTTAAATGTTCTAAAATGCCCTCTCCAGCCCTTGGGTATAGCGGTGAACAGCTGGAGCTCTGGACCATGTGGGTTGTATTCTGGCTCTTCGAGCTTCTTAACTGGGTGACTACTGGGGCAGGGTCCTAAATAGCCTTTCTGAGCCTCCAGTTTCCTATCCATAAAAGGGTAATACTCCACTCTTTTCTGAGTGATTGTGTGTCTTCAATAAGAAAGTATTTGTAAAACAAAACAAGACACACACAAAAGAATGGTGTGTGCACTCAGGTATTAGCTAGGCTATTTTAAAATTTTTTAAAAGGATTTGTTTTCTCATTGGGTGAAAAAGCTATGTTTGTCTATATGTCAGGTTAATAATTTCTATTTTGTTGGTGCCACCACTAGTCAGAACTGCTAGTTATCTTGAGTGCCCGCCCTCCCCCATCTCTCTAACCTATGCTAGCAATACCATCGAACCTTTCTCTGACATTTCTCTGGAATTGGTTTCTTCCATCTCTCTCAGTCATCTCCCGCCCCCCTTAGTCACTTGTGACCTTCACCAACTTCTGTTTCATCCTGCATGCAAGGACCGTATTATTTTCCCTACAGAACCACTTGCATTAGGCTAGTCCCCAGAATACAGATCTTGTACCAGTGCTATTTGCTGCTAGCACGACCTTGGAGCCTGTAAGCCTTGGTTTCCACTTCTATATAGGGGTGTTTTGAGGAATAAATTCAGTAATATCTATAAAATGATTAATTCCATGCCAGGTGCACAATAAGAAATCAGTAGATGGTAGTCACTTTCATTACAGGCCGAGCATCTCAATCCAAAAAATCCAAAATCCAAAATGCTTCAAAATCCAAAGTGCTCCAAAATCCAAAACTTTTTGAGTGGCCACATGATGCTCAAAGGAAATGCTTACAGGAGCATTTCTGATTTCAGATATTTCTATTTGGAATGCTCAACCAGTAAGTATAGTGCAGATGTTCCTAGGTGGGGTATGGTGGCTCACTCCTGTAATCCCAGCACTTTGGGAGGCCACGGTGGGTAGATTATTTGAGATTATGAGTTCCAGACCAGCCTGGTCCACATGCTGAAAAATACAAAATAATTAGCTAGGCATGGTGGCAGGTGCCTGTAATCCCAACTACTAGAGAGGCTGAGGCAGAAGACTCACTTGAACCTGGGAGGCATAGGTTGCAGTGAATTGAGATCGTGCCATTGCACTCCAGCCTGGGCAACAGAGTGAGACTCTATCTCCGAAACAAAACAAAATTCCAAAATCTAAAATCTGAAACACTTCTGGTTCCAAGCATTTTGAATGGAGGATACTCAACCTCTACTATATGAAAGAAAGGTTTGTGAGCTTGGAAATGGACAGGCTGCTAATTTTTTGAGAAGTATAGACTTTTCTAGCATTGCTAGCATTTTGTACCTCCTTGTATCATGTTTCTCATCACATTGACTGTTTATATGTTTATTGCTTACATGTATTTATAAGCTATAAACTGGCACTTTGAGAGCAAGATGCTTCATTTATTTAAAAAATACTGCGCACCTTCTACGTGCTGGCTGCTAATTCAGGCATTAGGAATACAATGGTAAATGAAACAGTCTGGTCTCTCTGGAAGCTTATTATCTGGTGGGTGACTCTCATGTATACTTG